CTTTCATAATCCATAGCCCAAATAAGTAGTTTAAATACCCTACAAAAAAGATAACCCTTTATGAAGTCGTCAAAAAACAAACGTTACGGCAGTTTTTTTTATATGCACAAACCCCTTTCATAAAAAAAAACTGAAAAATAAATAAATCTCCATAGATGCGCATGCCAGACTAGGGTGAATACATCTTCCGTTTCAAATTCAGACACCCCCACCTTTCCCTGACTTGACATCTATGAAAGTAATTCTATACTGATACTTATTATTAACACCCAACACACGCCTACACAATTTAAACAATTCGCCCTAGCTGTTACCATGGAAATTTTGATTTCAATTATTAAAACACGTAAATTTCAGAAATACGTTATTCCAAAAAAATTTCGCTTGAAAATGGAACAGAGCTTACTTTAACTCAATTTAATTCAAATAATTATGTTGAAGTTTTCGGCTCTTGTTTTGAAACATGAGACCTCTTATGTCGCGAGTTGGAATCATATTTTAAATAAATAATTATATATATATATATATATATATATATATATATATATATATATATATATATATATTCCTTAAGGAACTGTGTTCCTGATCAAACCGGACTCATAAATAATTACATCGGTTACACAACCACATGCTTATCCAGACGTCTTAGGTTACACCTATCTGACCACAACTCCATTAGAACCCATTTAAACACACACACAGATTTACCCGATTCTATTAGAAACATATTAGTAGAAAACACAAATATATTAACTGCATCCACCTGCAAAAAAAAAAAAGACTAAAAATAATGGAAGCTTTAATAATAAAAAGAAAAAGCCAACTCTTAACAATATTAACTACGAACAAAGCCACAATGTGCTAACCATTCGGAAATTAAAAAACATCCCTACCACACACTAAGACATACACAGAACGCACACACTCAATTAAGCTGAAAAATCGAATCATCCTTGATAATGGCTAAAGGTATAGCCGAAAGCGCTCGAAATATAAAACATCTGGACAGTTCTTACACACCCTTTGTCCAGAAAAGAAAGCTCTTGTTCGGACACAAGAAAAATTAAATAAAAAGCTTAATCGTAGTGCCTTGTCTGTCGTTTGTAATAAAACATGCATAAAGGAAGGATTGCTGCCTAAGTATACAACTATATATATATATATATATATATATATATGTGTGTGTGTGTGTGTGTGTGTGTGTGTAAGAATCATATTGACTAATTACGTATTCCTTCCTTTTTTTAGTGTGCTTATCCGGCTATGTTCCTGTTTTTGACGAATTTTTTTGAGTGATATTCTTACTTTTAAATGAAAAATCTATCTTATTTTTTCTATTTTTTAATGAATTCCTTAGTGACCATTCCATTAATTTTTGGTAGGCGGTAGGGGGGGATCTACCCCATAAAGTCTGATTATTATCCCCTCTTACTGGCGTCGACTAACTAGTCGAACATTTTAGCCTCTGGCCGATGCCACACTGCGTTTCAATATGTAAGCTTTTTATTTTATTTTTTTAATTGTTTTTTTTTAAGTCTGACTTCATTTCCACTTTACTTTTTTTCCTTTTCCTTTTAATTATTTTTTTTTTTAATAGCCTTTTTTTTATTAGTCAAACGACACGAAAATAGAAAAAAATATTCAATTATGAACGAAGGTTGTAAATGCATTTAGTAGATTCTGTAGAAAACCAAAAACAGAACCCAAGAAGCAACTGTTGCAGTAAAAATTATGTAAAAGAAATCCAAGGATAAATCTCTTGAACAGATGAAACAATGCTGTCATGGCAAGCCTTTGCATGGCCAATATACAGAACGAGCTAATGTTTTATTATTAAAATGTTGATAAAGTTAACACTTATCAATGGTTACGAGTATCTGGATTAAAAGCAAATATCATACATAATAGTGTGGATTCAAAATGCAGTTTCTGTGACAAATGTCAGGAAACCATAGAGCATATAATCTCAGAATGTTTTGTACTTCCGCCAAATGAATATAAAAATCGTTACGATAGAGTGAGGCAATACTTATACTGGACAATGTGCAAAAACTTGTGAAAAGATGTTAATAAACATTGGTATGAACGTCAACCAGCACCGGTTACAGAAATCGAAGACATCACAATTCTCTGGGATTACACCATCTTTACAGACAGGAAGATTGAAGCAAATAGGCCGGATATAATTGTCAAAAACCGAAGAGAAAAAAACTTGCCTACTAATTGATATGGTTACGTATATTATTTACCTTATTCGAACTGTTATCCTCATCTTCATGGCCATATTCACAACGTTCTTCAGTGGATAAAGGCGTTGGTTAGACCTACTGACTAAACCCAAAAGAGTCTTGAGTTCAATACCAGACCACAGCAGTGGTGAACCAAAACTTGGAAAGTTGAGTTAAATGGAAATAATTGAGAAGTCCGGAAGAGGCATGGCACGTGGAACTAGAACAATCTACCTCGGTGGATGAAATAAAGTGTTCGGTTCGAAATTCCAATCATCTGAAGAAGGCCAGGGCTTACAACGGTCGAAACGTTGTGAATATCGCAATGAAGATGAGAATAACAGTGCGAATAATGTAAATAATGTAAGCAATCATAATCTCAGTGATAAAGACAGATAATTGATATGGCTTGCCCTGCGGACTGTAATAGCAACCAAGGAATTTGAAAAACTATCGAAGTACAGAAATCTGGAATTCGAAATAGAAAAAAATGTGAAAATTGAAATCAAGAATAGTAACAGTCATAGTAGGTGCGCTTGGAATGATAAAAAAGGAACACAACGACACATTAAAAAAAATCACAGCTTAAGAGAAATATAAAAACTTGTCTTGATAATTCCAGCCCACACACTAAAAAGAAATTCGTCCATGTAACGCTAGTGATGTTATGGGAGTTAGAAAAAACAAATCATGAAATGTCGGCCATAACAACATCACACTACCTGCCTTAGGTCTTTCTGCAGACTTGGTAGGTAGTGTGACCAGAGCACAAATCAAAAGATAATAATAACAATAATTATTATTATTATTATTATAACAACAACAACTACTACTACTATTACTACGACTACTACTACTTATTATTATTATTGAGTAAATAATGGTATTATGGCCCGGCACAAACAGGGATAGTTTAAATCAGTGTTTCTTAACCCTAATATTTTGCAAGATGTCGATCGGGGTTCCGTGAAAAAATGATACATTGCCTCATGTATTTTGGAGTCATTTTTGTTTAATTTTATATTCGTAATTTTACTATACACTTACGACATTTGGAAAATTCTTGTTTATTATAATAAATTGTAATAATATTAGTTATGTTTATTTTTTGCGTGTTTACACACTTTTTTTGGTGCATGAAAACCTGTGAGGTGTGAGGCTTCATAAACAAGAATTATCATTTTATTTTTGCTTTGCCAATAAGTTTGACAATAAAAGGGAGTAATTTTTTTTTCTCCATAAACCAGTTATCGGAAAAAAAATGTATTATTTTTACCACGTGAATTACTATAAAAATATAAAAGGTATAGATATTAATAAGAGTATATAATCATTTTTATGCAACAGTTCCCTAAGATATGAGAACTAGGGTGGAATAAAAGGAAAAAAGGCTGAGAAACGCTGGTCTAAAGCATCTGTGTAAACATTAGAAAGTCAAACTTTTCATATAACCCCCAGGTAATATTTCGCGGGTAGAAGAGGAAAAAATTTCAACTGTCATTTTTTGATTCAGAATATAAGTGGCCTTTTCGTTTCCATTTTGCTTAAAACTTCATCATTTCTCACATGTTCCGTGCATGGTATTCTCATCATCATCCTGTAGAACAAGGGTCGGCAACCTACGGCCCGAGAGCCGAATCCGCCCCGCGAAGGCATTTTGACCTGCCCGCGAGCCTGATTACTAATGACTATTTTTAACATGAGAGACGAGGCTTTCGAATTCGACAAAAGACCCGCCATCATAACACGATCCGGCCCGCGGGGTCGAATGAGTTGCCTACCTTTACTGTAGAACTACATCTCTGTTACCACATGTCTCTTTTTTCATCTGTGAGGAAACTGCCCAGCATTCACTGAAACAATATTATTGAAATTCTTCAGATTCTTTTTCTTCTGTGTTCCTTCAGGATGTTGGCGATCATGGCTCTCCAGAACTCCCTGTCCTTTGTAAGCTCTTTTTTGAGATTTGTCTTTTTGCTATCTCTCATAATCCATGTTCTACCAGCTATTTACACAAGCTCATTAGGTAGGCTTTCCATTGTCTCTTTTGCCTTTAATAAGTCCAATGAATGTCACATTTTTCAAGATCCCTTTTCTAATTATATTTCCTAGTAATTTCAAATATCTCTTTCTGATTCTCACTATAAGTGCCCGTTTTTTCTCTATTTTGCTTAAAACTTCCTCATTGCTCACATATTCTGTGTATGGTATTCTGAGCATCCTTATATATAACCACACTTCTGCTAGCTCGAGTCTCTTTTTCATCTGTGAGGAAATTGTTCAACATTTGCTGCTATATATGAGGACTGTTATTACATCGCAGTTCAGCAATTTTTATTTGGGTCCTAATGAAATTTTCCTGTTTCTTAATACTTTGTTTAGCTTTTGAAAGGCAATTTTCATTATTCCAATGCAACTTTGGATTTCTGTGTCTCATTTTCCACTGTCTATTAAAAATACTTCCCACTTAAATTTCTGTACCTGTTCGATTTTGATGTCTCCAAATCATAGTTTCATTTCTGACCCTCTTCAATGTACCCCTGTGGATGTCAAATTTTTCAAGATCTCTTTGCCCATTATATTTCCTAGAAATTTCAATTGTCTGAATCTCAGTATAAGTTTCCTTTTCGTTATCATTTTACTTAAAACTTCCTCATTCCTCATATGCTCCGTCCATGGTATTCTCACCACCATCCTGTAGAACTACATCTTTGTTGCCACACGTCTTCTTCGTATCCAAGTAAATTTCCGAAAGATTAGATCTTTTCTTATGGCCATATTAGGTTGAAACAGCGGTTCCCGTACGATAACAGAAGTTAAGCAATGTTGAATCTGGCCAGTACCTAGATGAGTGACCACTTGGAAATGCCTGGTGTTGTAAGCTTGGGTGTGCAGATGGTGTAATGAATAATAGCTCAGAATTGTTATACGAAGAGCAGAGTTCTAATTCCCGTATTCACTTAGATTCAAATACCATTTGGAAAAGGTATGAATCCACCTCTTCTCCCCAGCTATGGGTTAATTAGTAAGACGTGTATCACTAAATCATTATTATCTCCAAAACAAAAAAATAAAATTCTTACAATCTAAAAATATTTCCTGGCTTTAAATAACCTGCAAAGGGTTGATAAGCCGTAAAAAATGAATCAATCATGTCGTTCTTTATCAAATGATTCTACGTAGTCTATTGAACAAAGCTTTGCGTCCTTCTTCATTTGTATTGCTCGCTCTGGTATCCATCTAATATAATTATTGCATTTCTTGTTTCGGTAAATGATTTTGCTCTGGCGCACGTAATGAGAAAAGTGAGCTTGGAAAATTTGACACTCACAGGACATAACTGAAGGCTAGAAAAACAGAGGGAAACAGCAAGTAATTTACCTAACCAGCTTGTGTAAATGGATGGAGGATCATGAACTGGAAGTGATAGCAGACAAACATTACTTAGAGCTACGAAGGAGGGGACGTTGTGAAGAGCCATGATCACCAACATTCTAAAGGGAGGCGACACATAAAAGAAGGAAATGTGATGGTGCTCATATGCGAAAAATTACAATCAGTTGTGCTCAGATTTATTCTGCACAAGTACCAATGGCTTGGCAAATTTACAGACAAAAGGAATTCCGAGTTAACAAGATTCATATATAACTGGGTGTATGGCCGTCTTTTCTATGCATTTATACGCCGGTGTTACCACTCGGCAGGCGTATTTGAGATTCATATCTCTTCCGACTCGCTGGTCTGAAACTTGTGTTCAAAGGCACCCAATTTTTCAAGGACTAATAACAATCCTATACGTCAAGTTAACAAGTTCCAAAAGGAATCTAAGTGTTTCCTAATTAACATCAAAGAGTTGTAGTTTAATATGGTAATCAAGGTTTTGGTTCAGCGAGATAAAGGATCTCAGAATGAGAAGCAGATTTTATTCGTTTCCACTTTGAAACGTGCGAGATCTGACAGTCAGCAAGATGGTTTTCCGGCGCACATGCTTAATTAGGCTGTTTAAAGCAATGAGGGGCGTTGTTTTTGATGGCTGTCGTCGGTTTAATAAGGCCATGATTGGCGAGAGAAGAGAGACGTGAAAAATAAAAATGGCTCATGGCCCTTTTGAAAGAGAAGAAACATTTCCTCGGGCTATAGATCTGATTTACGTAATTATTAGTAATCAGACAGGAAACGGGAATTCCCCAGATGATATGGAGTCATGTATGTGCGTATTCGTTAAACGGAAATAGACATGCGCACATTGATAGAACGGAAATAGACATGCGCACATTGATAGAACGGAAATGGACATGCGCACATTCATAGAACGGAAACAGTGTCGTTCATTGCTCATCTACTAAAAACGTCTTTTTTTTTTTTTTTTTTTTTAGTATGGCCGTAGTTGCAAGGCTAAAAAATAACACTGGACAGACTTAAATATCTAAAATTACTCGTGCGCCAAGATTCAAGGAAGATAAATCATTGATCAAATTTAGAAAGAGGGAGAAGAGACTGTATTACTAGAGTGTTGACTCCTATGTCCACACTATCTGTAACTGTAAACGCCGATACTGAGCACTCTTCCCCCTATAAATGTAGAAAATCTCTAGTATGTATTTACTCTTCATTAAAATAAAGGTTATTTTTGAGTATACATTTGTTTGAGTTGACATTCTCGTATTTTTTTTTCGTACTATAAAATTAATATTCACTGGCATTGATATATAAAGTTTTAATAAATGAAGTGCACCTGTCGGTTGGTATTACTGTAACATTCTACGTATAGGTCAGTTAATATTAATTTCACTGCTTGAAAATAAAAACAGGAATATCTGTTAAAACATATGTATTCCCTAAAATAACTTTTATAATAATAAATAATAAAATCTAATAAAAAATAATTATTTTCTTAAATTCTTTCTCTCTCTTTCTCTCTCCCCCCCTCTCTCTCTCTCTCTATATATATATATATATATATATATATATATATATATATATATATATATATATATAGTTAAACATAGAGAGCCAGACAAACCTACCAGGGTCTCACCTAAGCGGATCGTCAGGAAGGCTGGTTTTCGAACAAGTATAATTTCTTATACTTATAAAATTACTACTACTAATATATATATATATATATATATATATATATGTATGTGTGTGTCTCTGTGTATCTGTGTGTGTTTGTGTCTCTGTGTGTCTGTGTGTGTAAAAGTGAACACTGAAGTCAACTCTCAGAGGCGATAGGCTGTTTCATGCTACATGCAATCGTCAGACCTGACGACTGCGTCCAGCACGAAACAGCCTGTCACCTCTGAATGTTAACTTCAATGTCCATTTTTATATTTATATTCACATACGCTCTATCTCTGATATTGAGCACTTTATCCCATAAATATAGCACACCTAAGAACTATATTTCTTCATATATACAGTGGGTAGCAAAAGTATTTAACACATTGGTTTTTCTTACATATCTCAAAAAATAACAGATCAATTCCAACGAAACTTATAGGAAATATTTAAACGAACATTGTCGATCAAAACACAGAAGGAAAATTTAAAACCACTGTTTTGAGAAACATTTATTAAAAATATATAAAATAACCCATATGCAAAAGTATTTAACACCAATGCAAATATTATGCTAGAAGAGACGTGTCGTCATGATTCCTACCCATATTGATATGATGTGATATGTCGATCAATGACAGCACTGCACGACACTAAACCGGCTATTAGATAACATCTCTGAGACACTGCAGCTATTCTGTTGCCACTACTGCAAGAAAATGGTGAAAACAAAAGAATTCTCGTACGACATGCCAAGAAGATCATAAAGAATCACAAAGATGGTAAGGGATATAGAAAAATCGCTCAAGATTTGAATTTGCTTGTGAGTACAGTTGGTGCTGTTGTTCGAAAATGGAAAAAATTCGATACTATTGAAAACATTCAAAGGAGTGGTCGTCCCCGTATCTTAAATGAGGCTAATGAGCGATACATTTCCCGTACTGTGAAGAAAAATCTATTTTCAACTCGTCGAGAAATTCAGAATGATTTGAAAAATGCCAGAATTTAGTTAGTAAAGATACAATTAAAAGATCACTGAATTGTGCAGGTCTCACTTCAAGATCACCGAGAAAGACTCCATTACTGAAACGCCGACATGTACAAGCCCGTTTGAATTTTGTAAAGAAATATGAAATTGAATCTAATGATTTCTGGGAGAAAGTAATTTGGTCGAACGAAACGAAAATTGAGCTTTACAGACGAAACATGCGCACTCATGTATGGAGGAAAAAAGGAGCGGAATACGAGCCAGCAAATACCATCCCTACAGTCAAACATGGGGGTGGAAATATTATAATGTGGGGTTGTTTTTCCTCAAATGGAGTAGGAAAAAAGAAAATCATCGAAGAAACAATGAATGCTGCAAAATACACTCAAAGTTTGTCAACTCAACTCTTGAACAGTGCCACATCTTTGGGATATGGTCGTGATTTTGTATTTCAGCAAGACAATGACCCGAAGCATACTGCTAAAACAACTAAGAATTGGTTTAATAATAATGACATTAATGTCCTGGAATGGCCAAGCCAGTCACCGGATTTAAATCCAATCAAAAATTTGTGGAAACTATTGAAGTTACGAGTTCATAAAAGAAATCCATCGAATTTAAACAAATTGAAGAAAATTTGTGAAGAAGAATGGGTCAAAATACCAACAAGTACCTGCAAGAAACTAGTTGAAGACTACGGGAAACAACTGGAGGCTGTGAAGCAGAACAGAGGCTATTGTACTAAATATTAGTAAAGTGTGTTAAATACTTTTGCATATGGGTTATTTTATTGTTACTAAATGTTTTTCAAAACAGTAGTTTTAAATTTTCCTTCTATGTTTTGATCGACAATGTTCGTTTAAATATTTCCTATAAGTTTCGTTGGAATTGATCTGTTATTTTTTGAGATATGTAAGAAAAACCAATGTGTTAAATACTTTTGCTACCCACTGTATATATATATATGTGAGAGAGAGAGAGAGAGAGAGAGAGAGTGTGTGTGTGTGTGTGTGACCCATCTAAATACCACAACATTTTAACCGACTAAATAACTGACAATTACAAAAACTACAAACATCACAATAGAATCTTTGAATGTGATAACCGATGTAGCCAATAATATGACTATTGCTGATAGAATTCGGAAAATACGTACTAAAAATAACTATATCTATACTATAAGATCACAAACCCAATTTCTATAACAACACTCAAACTAGACTTATAAATACCACGAAATCAAAACTAGGCATAATCTCTAAAAATATAATTAAAAAAATTACTGACCAACTGGTTAAGGCTACCGAGGCTAATCTTTGTAATGATTCCTCTGATAACATTTAATGGTTCAATAACATTAGTGACAAAAAGAAAGCCATCTTCATTAAGTTTGATATTGTTGATTTCTATTCGTCCTTTTCTAGAGGTCTATTAATTGACTCGATTATCTTTGCGAAGAACTACATGGATATAACGAATAGTGAATTCAATATCATTCTTGCGGTCAGAAAATCGCTCTTATCACTTAACAATTCCACCTACTTCGCATATATATATATCCAAATTCCCTCCAAATCTTTAAAAGCACTTCCGCAAACTTATAGCTCCGATATATGGACGAGTTTAATACACCAATAATTCCAAATTATCTCTCTTCCATCTTGTTAAAATTACCTTATGATTGTTTTTTCATGTTTTCGTTAATTTCCGTGGATTCCCGTTGAATTAAACTTTGACCGTGTGACCATTAGAATGTAGGTCAGCTTATCGGTTTCAAGGCTCTCCAACCTCCAGAATATAATTCTTGTAATGGTGCCTTCTTCTATGATATCT